TTAACTGTTAAAGCTTAGTACCTTTTGGCTGTTTTCAGTAATTGTAGAAATTATTCCAAAATCTAGTAAAGCCTTTTGATATGGTACTATTGCAAATAGAGACAATTTTTAATTCTGTGTGTGTTTATAAATTCAGCACACTATATTAGTTTACTACTAACTGACAAAATGTGAGAAAAATGATGCCCATAACTGGTATGTCCAAAATATGACAATTGTGATTTTTGAAAATCAGTGCTATGTATTGCTTAACACCAGGAAAACTAATTTTATAATAATACTAGTAGTATAATCCACAAATGCATCTTAATTTTTTATAAACTAATAATTTATAATTTCTAGAATAAATCTGCAAGCATAGGAAACTGTTCTTTTAATATTTGATGAAATAAGTTTTCTTATGGGCAATATTTTAGCTAAGTTCATTATTTTATCTAATGAATGCACTGTACAAAACTTTAGTATATGAAGTTTCATTTAACAAATATTTTGCCTAAACTGTAATCACTTAGTATAAAATTGCTATAAATTGAGTGGAAATGAAAATGCCTATAAATAAATAGCAAATAGTGAATGCTTTGAAAATAGTAAAACAAATTTATAAATTAGGTTGTAAAAGAAAAACTCATTACCAGAGCTGAAATTTTATTATCAAAAAAAGTCATCTTTAGTAAATCATTAAACAAAGGTTACTTTATTTCAAGGGCATAAAATTTTGATGTTAAAAAGACTATTTTTCTCACATATCTAATTACACAAACACACATACATGCGTGTATGCATACACATTCACAGACTTTTTAAAAACCAAAGACCATAACAAAGCTGAAAAATGGAAGAAACTACTCAGGTACCATATTTCTCATAAGAATTGATCAGCCTGAAGCCTGTTTCAAGAAAAATAGTAGTTTAACAGGTACATACTGCTGTTCAGAGGCCGGAGTTTTTTTAGTGACGGGGTTTAATACACTTTATCCCCAAATCTGGCACTTTGGCATTAGGGAAAGCAGCAGGAACAGGTAACAAAATCTAGGAAAGTCACTCTCTGAACTTCTCCTGCCCTTCTTCCCTGAAACAGGTCATAAGACACTCATTTGAGAGATATCCTCCCCCTTATCAGAAGGAAAGGAACATCATTATCTCAGAAGAGAGATGGGCACAGAAGAATCTGAACAAATAGACCTTTCTAGTCCTACCCCCATCCCAATTTTTACTTTAGGTCATACCCCATTTATCCAAGTATGATTCTCTATGACTATCTACCTCTTTATCAAATCTAAGCATAAAAATATAGCTTACCCTTGAACAATTCAGGGCTTAAGTGTACTATCTCCTGCATAGTCAAAAATCCACATATAACCTGCACCTTTTGACAACCCCAAAACGTAACTACTAATAGCCTACTGTTGACTGGAAGCTTTACTATATAAAGAGTCAATTAAAAGATATATATTTTTATATATTACATGTATTATAGACTGTATTCTTACAATAAACTAAGCTAGAGAAAAGAAAATATTAAGATAGTCATAAGAGAAAGAAAATGTATTTACTATTTATTAAATGTAAGTGGATCATCATAAAATTCATCCTTATCTTCACACTGAGTAGGGTGAAGTAAGAGGAGAAGTAAGAGGAAGGGTTGGTCTTGCTGTGTCTGGGGTGGCAGAGGTAGAAGAAAGTTTGCATTTAATCTGTAGAGTTCAAACTCATGTTGTTCAAGGGTCAACTGTACCCAGGTTTTTCTATTTCTTTGGGCTTTTGTTTCCAAAGGCTCCTGTGTCATGTAAAATTTATATTAAAAAGATGTGAATGCCTTTCTCTTGTTAATCTGTCTTTTATTATAAGTGCCTCAGCCATGAACCTAGCAATTGATGAGGCAAAGAAAGCTTTTCTCCCCCACAGCAGCAAACATAAGTTTTGCTATGTTGAACTGCTTTTATGTTCATAAGCCAGATATCTATATGAAAGAAAATACTCAGGCTTTCTATCTTCACCTAAATGCGTGGGTTACACGAATCCTCTCTTTATAAAGATAGCAGCAAAGGTATAGAGAGTGAGAAAACTGGAAAATCAATATGGAAAATGTCCTCAGAGAGACTAGCAAGTAGTAGAGGAAAATTAGAGAATAGAAACAGAATTAACAAATGTTTAGAATTGGGTCCCATTTTACTTTATATTTATATTCATTTTTAGAACTCACTTACCTTATTGGATTAATTTTTCAGAAATTACTTAAGTTTGCTTTCTAACCAATTCATTCTCTTTGGTCAAATAGCACTGGCTTGCATCGTGTGAGACACTGAATTAGGCCTATAGAGAATCAGGAAACCTCCTGATTAATCTCTCATAGAGCCATGAACTTTGCTTCCTAAACACTTGTACAGTTCCAGTTTTACATTTATTAGAGAGTTAATTTGAAAATATCTGTCTTTCCAACTAAACCCTGAGTTGAAAGATTACTTTAATTTACCACTTTATCTCTAGCATCTACAACATAGTATGACTCATACTCAATGTATATTCTTGAATGAATAAATGAATAAAGGCAGAGGTGATTGTAACAAAATACTCTGCTGTAGTCCTATTGAAGTCCATAGTACGTAGTAAGTCTAATAGCCTGCATATCATATATTGACTTACATCTTATAGTATTTGCAGATCACATAAATTAGACAGTAATACTTAGGATAGACTAAGATAGCAACTTTGGATTTATTGCCTTCTGTTGCTCTAGAATAGATAAACCAGTTTCCATTTCTAAATGTGATATGTTCAATTAATTCTACTGAATGCTTTATAATACTTAATCTTATGTTTTTATATCTATTGTGTATATGCTAATTAATTCTTTTAAGTGTTCCTAATATAAAAGAAAATATAAACTATGATATAATTGTATTTATTTTACACCTATACTTTGCATCTATTACTCAGAATCCTTCATTATTGTTCATTTATTACTTTCTTATGCAAGTCTCCTAATGATCCTAAAATATTTGTGCACATAGGGATGATTTCCAATTAATTTTGCAATGTCAGATGATGATGATTTGAGAAACTCACTAAAAGCACAAATTAAATTAAAAAGGATAAAGTGTATCTTGTATAGTTATACTACTTTAAAAACAACCCTTTCACTTTAAAATTATTTGTGTTATGACTACATATTGATTAACCAATGTTTTGATAGGAGAAAGAAAGGCAAGAATAATCAATAGATTATCTTCTAAGTGTAGAGACTCATGTTTTGTGATCAAAGGAAGGTTTGTAATGATATTACTTAGTTAGTATCTGCTGTGAGATGCTGTGATATATAATATAATAAAATCTGCAGAAAATGGATGTTGTTCAGAATTGCCCATTAGTTAATGGTGTGACCTTAGTCAAACAATTCTGACCCTCAGTTTATTCATCAGTAAATGAGGAGTTTGAATCAATAAATTTTAAACTGAAAGTTCCAGTTTCCTATGGTGGTCCCAGGGGTTATCACTCTAGTACTGATGTTCTTGCAAATTTTTGAATGGTGAATTTGAATACATTGCAAATAATTTGCAAGGTTTAATAATAGCCCAGGCAAAGATTGACAACTGTATGGAAGAGTAGTCTTTTTGTTTTGTTTGAAAGAACACGTCTTTTAACTGACTTTGTGAGAATTAAATATGTAGATGCTGTATGTAAAATGTTTACAGCTTAAGAAATTAAAAAATAGTCAATTATTTATTGTTAAAAAAGTTTTAAAGCATTGCATTGAATAGCTTGAGTTTTAGAGTTTATACTGGTTAATAGCTCTATACAAAATTGTGTTTGGGAAAAAAGAAATGAATTATTACCAAATGTCAAAGCAAAGGTGGGGACCAGGGGGATAGGAAAATGAGGTAATCAATAAAGAATAATAATTCTTTTTGCTCTTAAAAGCTTTTAGGTAATTGACTGGTGAGAAGCAGAGCATCTAATAAGTGATGATGCATTATAATGGTTCAGTCCTCTTTACTGCCCTGTTTCTTCCCTTCATCCCTTCAAAGGTCATTTTCCTGATTTACAAATTCCTAACTAGGATTTATACCCAGTGGACCAGATTATGTATAATTTGCACAATGCTTTAATACCATTGCACCCATTGTACTTGTGTAAGTATATATACACATATATATACACATCTATGTTATATATTTGTAAAATCTACACTTTAATATGCTCCAAAAAATAAATGGTAGTCTCACTACATATACCAGACTCAGTTTTGCCATAAATCATACCAGTATATATATATATTTTTTTCTTCCTTTTATTTCATCATATTATGGGGGAACAAATATTATTAGGGTTAAAAATATTGCCCCTGCCCTCCCCCTCCCCCCATGTGCCAGAGATTCAAGCGTGTCTAATCCCCAGGTGGTGCGCACCACACACGTTATGTAAGTATAGACCCTTCTCCTCCTCCCGCCTCCCGCCTGCCCACCACCCGATAAAACGTTTTTTTCTTTTTTGTTTGTTTGTTTGTTTGACATTTTGGTTACATTGTATATTTTTGCCTCTCCCTAAGAAGTATATATTTTGATTTCATTCTACCAAAGAAATGTTATGCTATATACTATGCTATATGTTATACAATGATTTCAATGAATATATTTTGTTGTTGCTACTTACAAAATTCAAAAGTTGGCCTTAGCAATGTTGTAGCTTTAATCTAGGGTTAAATAAAACTAATGGTGCATAAAGAGCCAATCATCCTTGGCTACACTTAACTATGATCTGCCTATGCCTTATACTTGTCTTTCCCCAGAGGTACTGAGCTCTCAAAGTCTGATGAAAAAGAGTTACCCTCTTTCAATCAACATATCTAAATTATTTGTAATGATGTGTGGATTTTCTTTGCTCTTTAAAGCTAAAAATAAATAAACATAAAATGTGTACGAGAAAAGGATATAGCTCATAACTGCCTTGGCTTACTCACTTTCTTCTCCACCTTTCCCTTCTCATGTTTCCCAGTGGCAGTGCAGGGTGAGATCTGACGAAGTAGGTGAGTGTAAGGAAGCTTATCATCTTCTCAGTTATCACTGCTGCTTCTGCAGGCTCAAATTCCCAATGTTTGGATTTTGCATGAAGGCTTTGCTGAATTCATATTTTGTACAAATGCCAGATGAGCAAGTAGCAAAATCAAAATTTAACCCAACCTGAGGCTAAATCCAAATCTCACTATCTTAGAATGAATTTCTGAAAAACAAGAAAAAAATGAAATGTTATTTAAAAATTATTTTGCCAAAAAATATGAATGTTAATTTTCTTAGGTTCAACATTATAGAGTACTAATTTCTTAGCACTGTCCATAGCTTCTCTGCCCCTGCAGTTACTCTATTGTAAATTGGCAAAATCATATGATGCTCAAATATCATACTTGCTATACCAATCTCAGGCATTTCAGAAATGTTCAAATTTTATTCATGATGCAATGATTAAATAAGGCAAGCAGTGTCTTAACTTGTCTTGACATTATTTATTTGTCAAATTAATTTTTAATTAAGCAATATTTTACAATTAAGGTAGTAAGTATAATTATGTAAATTAAATGTTAATTAAATGTTTATGTTTTGTAATTAATAGTTACTGAATTTTCTTTTGAAAATTAGTGCATGCAAGTATAAAAATTGAATCTGAGTTAATCAGGAATCATTTAGCATGTTTACATAAACAAATGAAATTGAAATTTTTTTTTTTTTTTTTAACCTGGGTCCTCTAGGCTATGAAATTGAAATTTTAAAAGACGGATGCTCACTGTATTCTGAGGTCAGTGAAAGAAACAAGATATTTTCATTTAACTCTATCAATGGGCACTGTCGATTATAATGCTACAACTAATTTATTAAATGGTTTTTCCTCTTGTAGTAAATGACCAAGACAAAGGTCTATATCCACGTTAGCTCTAGAACTTGAAGACTGGTAAAAAATGAAATTTTATTGAAATAACTCACAAATTAGTTTTTTTCAATGATTAATGAGAAAACTTACTGAATTATCTTCACAGAGTTCACATGGTTGGCCTAACTTTTATTTTTTTCATATTTATTTGTACCTGCTGTTTTCAAGTCACATGGGGAAAAAAATCCTTAATCTTCAGATATACATATAAGGCAACAGAGCAATGTGATTGGCATGCACAATTTACAAAAAAAACCATTCTTGAATTTCCATCTGTATCTTAACTTTTATTACATACACATTTTGCTCAACATTTTTCCTAAAGCTGAATGATTAGCAGGGTCTTCACAGAAGGTATCATAAGAAATATTTGGACTTTGAAAGAATATCATTTTGTCTTTCTTTACAGCTGGTTTCAGCAAACTAATTCCTCTGCAATCAACCATTGGATGCTATTAAGTATTTATTATTTGAAAAGTACAGTATTTAGACATTTGTTGATTTTTATTTCAATGTATAAAAAATTCTATTCTACCTTGTTGGAACATCTTGTATAAACAGATGATGAGGCAGTTATAAAGCCTGTCTATCCCTGTTTCTGGAATTTGGCTGAAGGAGAAGATGAAAATACTTCATGTTTTTCTACTTATGACCAGTAATCTTGTCACATGTCACTTTAACCACTTTCTAAACATACAACTAAAAGAATGTGAATAAAAGGTTAAGATTTTGATTTTTAAATTAATCATAACCATTATTATGTTTGTTTATTGTCTATGACAAGTATATAACAATTACTAAATTTCCATGCCATAATATTTCTTTAAATTGATTCTATATTATTATTTTTGTGAGATCAAGAAATCTGTTGATAAGAAATTAAAGCAGAAGCAGACTCTATTGGATCTGATGACACTCTATTAATTACAGAATCATTGATCATGCCAAAATTCAGAAATAAAAATGGCATGGAGCCAGGCGCGGTGGCTCACGCCTGTAATCCTAGCACTCTGGGAGGCTGAGGCAGGCGGATTGCTCGAGGTGCAGGAGTTCGAAACCAGCCTGAGCAAGAGCAAGACCCCGTCTCTACTATAAATAGAAAGAAATTAATTGGCCAACTAATGTATATATATATAAAATTAGCCGGGCATGGTGGCGCATGCCTGTAGTCCCAGCTACTCGGGAGGCTGAGGCAGCAGGATTGCTTGAGCCCAGGAGTTTGAGGTTGCTGTGAGCTAGGCTGACGCCACGGCACTCACTCTAGCCTGGGCAACAAGCGAGACTCTGTCTCAAAAAAAAAAAAAATGGCATGGATATAGGTATTTGGCATACAGTATATTGTGTCCAAACAGAGTCTGAATCCAAACTTTAATGACCACACAATATAACCAATCTTTCCCTCCTTCACTCCAAGTCAGTGCCAAAATATGTCCATGTTCTGGTGAAGAAACCTTATCTAGGTAATCTTCTGGGCATCCTCTCCCAAACTGGGACAATTATTTTACGCAGTTGAGTATTTCACTTTCATCTTTAGACCCATAAGGCACCTTGTTAATACCTATCCATATGTAATGAGGGTAAAATTTTTTAAAGCTCTTTATGTGCTTCCCTTTTATCTTTCTAATGCCTTGACCTTCTCTTGGTCTGCCTACATTGTCTGTTTCCTGGATCCCAGGAATTTGTTTCAGAAATAATTTATAGGAAAAGAACACCATTCTGCATATTATGTTCAATAACAAAATTTTGAAGCAAGCGTACTTTTGTGATTTAGGACTTTCCTGAAGGAGAATTGTCTATTCTTCTCATCCTTTAACATATTCAGAGCCAAAGTTGGGTTGCTGGACTAAAGAGTTTTATATAAGGAAAGTTTACGTAGTTGGAAATAGAAATAAGAAGGAAAATATTGGTGATTTCCAGCCAACAGAGAATAAAAAAGAGAAGAGGGAAAGAAAGTAGAGGCATGAAGCAGTTAACTGTATCCCAATTTGAACTTGGTAAGGGGAAAGTTTACGAGATAAGTTAGTATGGAGAGAGGCTATGTCCCCAACCATGTACTAACTTGGTACATGGGCACACTCACATCAACTCATTGGTCTGTCTAAGGGAGGTTCTAAGATGCCATTTGCCACAAAACCTTTAGTTCTCATGGGACTCATCTAAAGAGACCTACTGAAGAGCCTTGGAGTGATTGCCAAGAAGGTCAAACTGTCACAGCAAGAAACTCTACATTGAGAGACACAGAGGAAACTGACTGAGCGGTGGCTATGTGGGCACAGCAGGCAGATTTCAGGGTGTTTTATAAAAGTAGTGAAAGCTGAGACAAGGCTGAGACAATCATGGAACACTAGTGGGCCTGATGAAATCAGGGCATCACACGTTGTTCCAATCATGGACTTTAGTGAAGAAGCCAACAGGGCAAGCAGCACCCACATGGGTAAGGGGTATTGTTCTGGAGGACAAAAGGATGCTGAAAACACTGCATTCTGAGACTTTGGTCCTTCCCTGTCCCCACGAGGCTACACAAGTACCAAGTCATGATTTTGGGGAAAAAAGCAAAAGAGGGACAAATTGTCCCAGAGTTTGATATTTTTTTTAATCGCAAAGAGACTGAACACTACTTAAAGGAATATTTTAAATTACTCATTCTACCTAAGTAAATCAAGGGAAGGGAGAAGAGAGAAAAGGGAGGTGAAAGATAAGGGGAAATAGGAAGTGATGGGGAAAAAAGAAAAATAAAAGGAAACTTTTAAAATTGACAAATAATAACTGTATATATTTATGGGATACAATTTGATGTTTTGATATATGGACATATTGTGGGATGATTACATCAAGGTAATTAACACATGTATCACCTCATCTATATATTTGTGGTGAGAACATTTAAAATCTACTTTTAAAATATTTTTTTTCAGAATATTACAGGATAGAAACATTTTGGTTATATATATTGCCTTTGCACCACTGGAGTCAGGCTTTTAAAAAAACAACTTTGAAATATACATTATTACTAACTATGATCATGATGCTGTTAACAGAGTTAAGAGACAACCCAAGGCTTGGGAGAAAATATTTGTAAACCACATATATGACAAGGTACTAATATCCAATATATAAAAGGAACTCATACAATTCAAAAGCAAGAAAACAAATAACCCAATTAAAAATGGGCAAAGGACCTGAACAGACATTTCTCAAAAGAAGACATATGAATGGATAATAAATATATGAAAAAATGTTCAAGATGTCTAATTATCAGTGAAATACAAATTAAAACTACATTGAGATAACACCTCATACATATTAGAACGGCTGTTATCACAAAGGAAATTTTTGGCTTCGGAAATTTTTGGCTTCTGATATTTTGGCTTCTGATATTATAATTTATTAGAATATTTAAAAATATCTACAAGTTTATTTCAAGGTCTAGAGAGTACTAAGAAAAACTGAAATAGTACGTTGGAGTTCTTATTTGATTTGGAAAAAATGAAACTAGGAGCAATAACAGAAGGAAAAAAGGATGCAAGAAGTCCAGTTTCTAAGGCTAGGGAAAGAAAATAATGATTGACACTGAGAAATCCTGGTTCCAATGATCTTTTTACTTCCAAAAGCCTCTATTCAGAACACTCGGCTTCCTTTTAGCCTCAACATTGTGCCAGAAGCCCCTTCTTGATGATAATAATAATGATCAACAATATGGAAAAAAGCAAGTTTCCATACCCATCACTGTAGGAACCCTTCTCTCACCATCCCACACTGCAAGAATTAAGTATGCCTTCTCCATAGAAACATTATTACATAGTAAGTTAAGGTTGTACTACACCACCTGGAGGACTAAATACCAGGTAAAAGTGTTTCCAAGAAAAATTATTTTCTAAGTCTAATTGAATTAATAAATGACATTGGAAGGCTATTTTTAAGTGGCCAAAAGTTTGTTTTTACCATATTAGTTCAATAGCTGCATTTTGAAAGGTCTATTCATTCAAGTCCTTTGGAGTAATGCTCAGTTGATTTCAAGTGCCTTTAGCAAGTTGGAAAAGTCACTGCTCTGTGATGACTAAAGCAGAAAAGGTCAATTAAGTAATCGTCTATTCTGGTCTAACAAAAGTCCCTCCACTGACTATGCCACGCTATGGATTGATTTTTAAGAGCTCAAAGTTTATATTACAAATTAGTTATATAAAAAGTATTTACTTTAAAACCTACTTTTTCCTGTGGATTACATGGGAATATAATTTTTAACTATTTTTTCTTTTACCTGAAAATTCCCCTCACCCTATAGATCATTGCTTGAACTC